CTCCCCCCAGCCTGTCTGTCCCGGGCATCTTGCTGAAGCAGCTGGATTGATGTTTGCAGCTGGAGAAACTGAGCCCAGTAGATGATTTTCTCCTCTAACCCTGGCATCTCTCCCACAAAAACCACCTGCCTGTGTCTGAGAAGCTGTTGGGTGAAGAGCAAACAGTGTGTTGGAGCTGCCACTGAACAAGTGTCCCCAGTCCCTGGGGTGCTGCCAGCCCTGCAGGTGGATCAGCTGCTTCCCAAGAGAGGAGCTGCCTTGTCCCTGCAAGGACACCCTGGGCTTGCTCAGGGATGTTCAGCTGCAGGGTCATGGCTGTGGCAGGAGGAGAGTAGGAGCCATGCAGCATGTTGAGCTTGCAAGGCAGACAAACTGTTCCAACATCCATAAGAGAAGAAGGGTTTTTTTTTAACCTAATTCAGGATTTTTTGGTTAATGTTGATATGAGACTTTTCCAGGCCCACAGCACTGCTGGGTGAGCTCAGTGAATCTCTCCATGCTTATATTTGCAGTGAATACACTGCTCTGTGCTACCCTGGTTTGTTAGAAGGTGGTTGCTGCTGCCTTTTCAGAGACTCATACATGGGATTTAATCAAATAAGCTTCCCTCAGGTCACTGCCACCTCGACAAGGAGGCTGCTGAATTACAGGACATTCTGTTGATGGATGGTCTTTGGATAGAGGCAGCGTTTCTATAACTAGGGAGATTTTTCTCTCTGGTCACAATAGTATCAAAAAGCAATTTAAAGGGCCATTAGGACACAGGCTCTGCTGAGACACAGCACGTCGATTTTCTGATTCAGAGTCTACCTCAGGAAGGGGAGGTGGCTCACATGAGTGCCCAGTTCTCCTCTGTTTCTCCAGGAAGGTCAGTAATTGCTGCTGCCTTCTGCCTATAGCAAATGTTCCTCGTTTGATAGGGATGGAGGAGATGGAGCCACACTGGTGGGATTGAGCTATCTGCCCCCACAGCAGGGTGGTGGCACTTCCTTACCCCTGACCACCAGCTCTGTGGTGTGGGAAGAGGCTGCACAGACAAAGGAGGGCAAAGACATAAACTCGAGAGAGCCCTTATGGGAGAAGGAGCTTTGAAACATCAAGATCCCACCTTGCTGGTGCAGATGCAAACTGAAACCCCTTTCCCTGAGAACCATTTAATATTGATTGCATGTGTTTACCTGCACTGACCTTTTCAAGTGATGAGCTGTGAGCCTCTGCTGGAGCTACCTACTTTTTCACATTATGTGTGTGGGGGATGACCATCAGAAAGTCATAAGAGGCCAGGATCATGTTTTGGCCAGAGGGCATTCAAACCCACCTATGAGCTCTGATAATTGAGAGCTCTCCGTGCAGATTCTTGCCCCAAATGTTCTGCTCCAGTTCCTGCTGCCTGAAGGGTTACTTGTGCTTCTGTCCCTTTCCCAGGCACCTGCCTGCACTGCCAGGAAAACACTGAGGGGGACCACTGTGAGCTCTGCAAGGAGGGCTTCTACAGCAGCACCCACCCTGCCCACGCCTGCCATCGCTGCCCGTGCTCCACCGTGGCATCCACCGGCACCTGCCAAATATGTAAGGCTTTGGGTTGGGTCTAATTCCTCAGATAATGGATGTAGCTTTTCTCAATTTGTTTAAATCAAATTGCCACTTGAAGTGCATCAGCCCAGTGAGATGAATCTCCTGTTTGTGGGAACTTGGACACCTTGCTGGGAGCAGCTCCTGCCACGGTGTGTCCCTGGTCCTTGTGCTGCCTCTTGTGGGAGCAGCTGCACAGCTGAGGGCATTGGAAGTGCTTTGCTACAGCCTGTAAAGGGTTGTAGAGAGAAACTGCTGGGCTTTTGGCAGCCAGGAGAGGTACAGGAGGTACCCAGTGGTGCCATGTAGCCATCCATACCTCTGTGAGCCTTCTGAACATCTCCGTGAGACTTCAAGCAGAGATGCCCCAATCTTTCTGCTCTATTTTGCTGTAACTGAGAGAACAAGTCATGACTGTGATAAACATATGTAAGATTTTTTTGATATTTCCTTGATCAGTTTTGCAGTCAAGCCTCCTCTGGCTTCACACAGGCCAAAAGGTTGCTGCAGATTGCTGACATCCCCAATATAGTTCCAGCTGTTTCCTGAAATTGCCTGTTTGAGATGGAAATGTTCAGAAATAAGTATCTGTTTGCTTAGCAACATGCTGGGCATGCTCTGTGATGCTGGGATGAGGCATCAGAAACGCCCCAAAGCTTCCCCTGGAAACAGAAAATGCTGCATTCAGAAAGTTTCCTTTCCAGTTTAAAATTTAAGGTTGGTTAATTCTCAGTGGCTGCTGGTTTCTGTCATAGTGATTCATGGTCAGATCCCACGGAAGAAATTCCTCAGCGGATGTTTCTCTGCAAGAGACTGAGGCACATCACCTGTTTTATTTCCTGATTTCTTTAGACCCTGGTGAAACTGCCCCAAGGTGTGACAAATGCAAAACTGGGTACACTGGCCCCAACTGCAACCAGTGTGACAATGGCTACTACAACTCTGACAGCATCTGTGTGAGGTGTCACTGCAATGGGAACGTGGACCCGGCGCGCTCGCCCAGCGTGTGCCGGCCGGACAGCGGGGAGTGCATCGGCTGCCTGTACCACACTGCTGGCTTCCACTGCCAGGAGTGTGAGGAGGGCTACACCCGAGACCCTGAGGGGACAAACTGCACCAAGAAAGGTAAAACGTTCTCCTCAGGTTGGTGTTGAAGCTTGCTGAGTGGCTCCAGTGGGCACAAGCTGCTCTAATGCTGTTAATTGTGCACATTGGTTTAGATTAATCTGGGCTACGGTACAGGGAAGAAAACCAGACCTTTATAGCATGTTGGTGCCAACTGGCCTGAAAATCAGAGGTCAAGAGCTCGCTCTGTGACCATCCTGATTCCCAGAGTGTGGTTGGCACCTCTAGTGAACAAGCTGGAAAACAAAAACTATTTGCAGTTTATTTCAATGTAGTTTTTCAGATTTCCATTGCTTCGTGTACTTGATCTTAGTGCCCTGTGACTTGTCCTTATGGACTGGTCTGCTCAATAGCACTGCCTAGTTTCATAGAAAGGGTGTTTATAATACATTTTGTCACTCTTCATACTCTGCAAACAATAACTATTTGAGTGAAGTTTAGATACTCTTCTTTTTTTGCTTACTAAATGGGGAAGCCAAAGGTCAGAGAGGTGAGATCCAAACCAGCACGTGACAACAACAGAATTTATTGATACATGCGCTGGGGGTCTCTTACCAGTCTTCAATCCACATCTGAGACACTGTGTGTAGCATCTCAGACACAAACTGGCTCTGGTACTTAGAAAGGCTACTGCAGAGCAGGAGGACTCGTCGTAAAATGAGAGAAAAAGATTCTGAAGTTGCTCCTTCAGTGGTTATCAGGAGGCTGGTCCACAAGGTGGATCTCCAGCTCCATGCATGGAAACATTTTATGTGTTAGATAAGAGAACCCAGAGTTCAGGAAAACATCTGGGCCTGAATTCGTCCTTGTCACCAACAGAGATTTAATTCAGATCTTCCATTAGGAGCTAATGTGGTTTTCACTCCCATACTGCTCTCTGGAGGTGTAATCACCAAGTCCTTCTCTGTGTGAGGAGATGATCAATACAAAAAAGTTGAATGCTCATTAGCTGGAACTGTACCCTTCCAGGACTGGAAATGGCACTTTTGCATCAGGTCATCTGTTATCTCCCCCTGCACAGCTTTGTCTCTGTGCAAAGAGCTGCACAACCTTGCTCCATTAAAATCCATGTGTATGGCTTTGCTTGGGTACTTGCAGTTTTCACTGTTTGTTTTATTGCAGTGACATCATTAGAGCCAGTTTCTGGTGTGGGGAAAGACTGTTCCCTTTCAAAGGGACTAGGACATGCTCTTCTGGCTTTCCTGCTTCCTTAACACCAGCTTTTTGCTTTCCATATTAAGCAATTAAAAAGGCACCACTTCTTACATGCAATTTGCCTAAAAATTGATGTGCTGAGGTACTGTGCATTAACTAGTTTTAGGTTAAGATTTTCATAAACCACTCATCCATCTGAGTGGCCTGGTTTTGCTAGCATGAAATCCTCACCAGATCTGCAGATGAAGTTGTTGGAGTCTGAGACTTAGGTGGTTGGTGTTCGAAAAGGACACAATGTTTTGGGCCAACCTCTAGTGCCCACAGGGACTGTTCAGAGGCTGAAACCTGACTGAGATGTTGCTGCTTTCAATGCTGGTGCAGAGTGGATTCAAAGGAGGTGTGGGATGACCGAAGTCAGTATTTTGAGCCCCTGGATGGATGGTGTTCCTGCTGTGAGGGTGAGGCCTCGAGTACTGTGTGCAGTTTTGGGTGCCACAGTATAGAAGGATGTTGAGTTACTGGAGAGGTTGCAGAGAAGGTCAATGAGGCTGATGTGGGGTCTAGAGAACAGGTCTTATGAGAGGCTGAGGGAGCTGGGGCTGTTCAGCCTGGAGAAGAGGAGGCTGAGGGGAGACCTCCTTGCTCTCTACAGCTGCCTGAAAGGAGGTTGCAGTGAGGTGGGTGTTGGCCTCCTCTCCCTGATGAGAGGAAATAGGGTCAAGTTGCACTAGGGGAGGTTCAGATTGGATATTAGGAACAATTTCTTCACGGAAGGAGTGATGAGGCCTTGGAACAGGCTGCCCAGGGAGGTGGTGGAATCGCCATCCCTGGGAGTGTTCAAAAAAGGGGTAGATGTGATGCTTTGGGAGATGGTTGAGTGGCCACGGGCGTGTAGGGCTGACTTTGAGGATCTTGAAGGTCTTTTCCAACCTCAATGACTCCAGGAGTGATGCAGTGCCCCCCAGGACAGCAGGGCAGGCTGGGCTGCTGCCGGCCCCGCTCTGCGCGCTCAGGCAGGAGGTGGCAGGAGCTTTGCAGAGAGCGACTTCCATCAAGCAGCTGGGTATGACACTTGGCAAAGCTGCCAAAGCAGCCCGTGGACTGGCCAGCTGCTGCTCTCCAGGAGCTGCTTCAGGACATCTGGAGCCTGGCAGGGCCCCGAGTAGCAGAAGCAAGAGCAGCCGGGGCAGGACCCAGCGTGGTGGGCAGAGCCAGGCACTGCTCCACCATGACCTTACCCTTGGTTCCAGGAAATGCTTTCACCCATGTCCCCCTTGCCAGTACTGAGCTGGTGCTGACTCACAAATAAAGCCCAGAAAAGTCCTGTTTCCTTGCTGGTGAATCAGCCATTGTGTCCATTCTGGTTTTTTTCTAATTATAGCTGCTGGCAGGGTTAGCCAAGAATTGAGTGTTGAGGAAGGAATTTGGAAAGGATGACTGAATTCCTCATGCCCTTCTCCCAGAGCTGTATCCAGGAACCTCTTGCTCCTGTCACGTTGCTTCCTACTGCAAAATTCTACTTGTTATCCCATAGAGAAATGCCTCCTGGCATTCAGCATCCTGAAAATCCTTATCAACCTAAGGCAGGAGCTGCAGAGAACAGAGGAGCTGCTGCTGGGAAGGACTCTGAGCAGGAGCCTAAATTAGATGTGATGCCCCCTCCAGAGGAGCTTCTTTCTCCACTGCCTGAACTGGGAATGTGACAGCCCAAAGTTAACTCATGGGAGTTCCCCTGAGGACCCGTGGTGGGAGATGTGCTGAATATTTCCAGCTCCTGTTGCCATTGGAGATACATCTTAGTGCAAAATTAGTCCTTCGGAAGTGACTCCTCCTCACTCACCATTAGTAGATGTTCTCTTCAGGAGAGCTGGATCGATCCAGCACTGCCAGCTGTAATTGCTGCAGCTAGAAGTGGCTTTAAAATGAAGTTGCATTTCTGGTGGCAGAAGGAGAAATGGAAGAGAGTGGGAAAGAAGGCTCAGAGAGTCTTGTGGAGCAATAGGCACAGAAACATTTTGGTTGATTAGGGTTTCAGCTTCTGGAGTGTTTCTCTGCTGCCTAGAGCTGGTTATTCCTGTGAATAAAATGCTTTATTAGTTACATTTGGGAGCCTATTACTCAGGCTCTTATGGTGCTTTCTGAGACCTGTGGCTCAACTGCTTTGAAGGTATAATGAATTTGCATCCCACATAAAGGGCTCCAGTATTATCTTGTTGCTGACTCCTTGATCTCAGAAGGGAGTTAAACCCTGTCTGTTGGAAGCAAGGAAGGTTCTTGGCTATTTTGTGCCTGGGAGCAGGCTGCAGAGGAGGATGGATCTTGTGGCACAGTCTGGTAGTTACCATGTTCTTATCCTTCATATGCCAGCAGCTGAAACTAAAACAGGATCCAGACTGGCTTCTGCTGTGCTCATAAGCTTGTAGGAACATCCACAGCCCTTTTATTTGGTTGGGATTTGGTTACCTTCTGCTTCTTGTTATGCAGACTGGGGGCTTTCATGAGATTTGGAGAATGACTTCTTCATTCAAAAGCAGAAGTAGGGTTTTTTGCCCTCTTACGTAAAGCAGTGTAAATATTGAAACCCATTGCTAAACAAAGTGATGGCAGAGAACTCGTGGTTTATTTTTTCATTTTTTTATCATCTTGTAGAGGTAAAGCAGAAATAACAATATTGTGACTATGATCCTACATCTAGTGTATTAACTGTGAAAGGCTGAAGCTCCTGTAGTCACTGTGTCCTCCCAGCCTGACTGTGCAGCCCACACAGACAAGTGAAACTGCCTTTGTTAGATTTGAAGTCCAAACTCTTGCTGAGCTTGGCAGAGCCCCCTTCTCACTGGCTGGGTGAGAGCTGGGTGGTTTGCTGTCATCAGGTAGCTGACACTGAATCTTGGCTTCTGCTCCTATCCAGCCATCACCAGATTTGTCACAGGAATGCTGCAGGGGGGCACTTGGCACACAGAGTTGTGGCTGACCATTTTGTGAACTGTGTTGAAAAAAATACCTGCTTCAACAGTGCAGACTTAATTGCCGTAATAACTGTGATATAAATGTCAAATCTCGTACATTTGATTCCAGCTTGTATTTTTATTGATGATTTTTTTTAATTTGTGTTGTAGAAGCCACTCCTGGCCCAGAAACAAGGGAGTTTACAACTTCTGCTCCAAATGCCAGCAAGGCAACTTCATTCTCAACAGCAGTGATAAACAGTACATTGTCACCAACAACTATACAGACCATATTTCCCATCAGTTCTTCTGAAAACAGCACCTCTGCTTTTGCAGATGTTTCCTGGACTCAGTTTAACATCATTATCTTGACAGTCATCATCATTGTTGTGGTCCTCCTGATGGGCTTTGTGGGTGCTGTCTACATGTACCGTGAGTATCAGAACAGGAAACTGAATGCTCCTTTTTGGACCATTGAACTCAAAGAGGACAACATCAGTTTCAGCAGCTACCACGACAGCATTCCCAACGCTGACGTTTCGGGGCTGCTGGAAGATGATGGGAATGAAGTGGCACCCAATGGGCAGCTGACCCTGACCACTCCCATGCATAACTATAAAGTGTAGGAAAAGCAGCGATCCAGCTATTCCCGAGTTGGCTTGAAAAAGTTACAGGGCTTGTTGAAGGAGCATCAGGATCCGTGCCAAGGCTCCATGCAGAGGAACTTGCTCTTCAGATACTCTTGTGCTGGGAAGGCTGTAGCTTGCAGGTGAACAGAAAAAAACCCCAGAAGTGTAGTAAATCTGAATTTCAGGTGATGTGGTGGAATGAATTCAGTGCTCTGTTCTCCAGAAAGATCCACAGAATTCACTGTTGGTAAAGACTCCATTATGCTAATCTGAAAACATTATTCTTTGTGAAGAGGTGTGGGGTGGAGAAAGCAGTACCCCAGGGTTACTCAGAAGCTACTTGATTTCCAGCCAACCTAACACTATGTCTGCAACCTTTAGCTTGAAAAGTAGCTCATGAATTAACAGTGGATTTTCAGGAAACAAACCTTAGTCAAGGCTTCATATTAGTTCCTGATCAAAATTGGTTTGAAAAGGAGGACAAAAAAAGGGAACTTGTTCACTGTACTACTAAGAGGTAAGTAGAGGAGTGAGTTGCACAGCTGAAAAAAAGTCACCAGGATCAGTTTCCAGGAAACAGGAAAAAAAAAATCAAGAAAATGTTGGAGTTAGGGAGGAGATGAAGCTTTTCTCTTTCTCAGTATTTATACAGGGTGATGATGCTATTGAAACATAGCAATCCATTTTTTATTTTTTCTTTCTAGAAGGAGTTTATGAACTTGTATAGTTTGTGTGCAAGGGAAGACAAGACATCTCAGGGTTGCCGTGTAAAAATAAAAGCCAGGCTTCATACCCTACCCTGCTAGAAATGGTGTGTTCTGTATATAAAATGTAATATATCTTCTTGGAATTGTATTTGTAATTATTTGTAAAAAAGACAACGAACCAACCAAAAAAACCCAAAACAACCTAGCAACAAAACCATGACCCCCTTCCCCACCTCTCCTGTTCCCCAAGTCATATTTTATCAGCTAGATTTTAATTGTACAGCGGTTAATGGCGTTGGTTAAAAAGGAAAAAAAAACAACAAAAAAAAAGAAGAGGATTGTTTAAAATACTGTAAATTTGATGGCAATATTGTTGGAGCTGGGACTCTGGCAAACACTGACTGCTTAAAGCTTTTCTTCTGGTCTTATTGACTTTCTTTTTTAACAGAAAATGTGAGTGCTCACTACTTGGCATCTGTCAGATTTTCCCGTTCCTGTAAGTATGGAGTGAATGCCAGCGTTGCCATGACTAGGGCCTAGTAGGTGTCCAAAAATCAGATGTACCATTCTGTTCCTTGCTTTTAAATCTTTATCCCAAAAGCAAATACACTGTCATGAATTCATTGAGAGCCTGATCTCCATGGCCCAGCTTTGCTGAAGTGGCTGCTCATCAGGTGAGTGGGTCTCATTGTCACCTCTCCCATGCTGACAAGGTGACATGGGGACTTGCTGAAGGCTGAGCGCAGCCTCCTGGCCTCTTGAAGGGCAAAAGAGCAAAAATCTCTTGGATTTGGGTGGAAACCCCTCACTGAAGAGTTGGAAAGAGCTGATCTCAAGAGACCTCAGAGCTCAAAATGCATGGTGGCTTTCAGGAAGTTCGTGTAGCACAAGGTAGTGGTGGGGAATTAGCTGTCAAAAAAATCACTAGGGGAGACTTCAGGTTTTACGAATTCCCCTGATTTTTGTGGGAGGCTGGTGGACTGTTAGCAGAGGGAGAAGAGCCAAGGGGCAGCATATTACGTTTCATCAGGGTGTGAAACAAATATTTCACCTGACTCGTGGCCGAGCTCCCGCTGCTGCTCATGTTGGTGCTTTGTGGGAGGTCGATGCTGAGGACAAATGAAGCACCTGCTGAAGGTCAGCAGGAGCTGGCTGATGCATCCTCAGAGCCAGGCAAAACCCAGTATTTCTCAAGATAAGAAAAGGGAGGAAGAATGTGATGATAGTTTATTTGCTTTCTGGCGCTGCGTGGAGGCTTTACTTGTGGTTGGAGGCTTTTCTTGTTGTTGGAGGCTTTTTCAGGGGAGGGCAGGAATAGGTGCTTTAAACACATGCACAGTGAGGCCACTTCTGCCTCAGAAACCTGCTGCCTGGTCTAAAGATGAGGCACAACAAGTAAAAATGGAAACAATCAAGAGTGATCCAAGTGTGAGGGCAGGATGTGATGTTGCATCTAGCCTGAGCTGATGGAAAAGCTCCTGGAGCCTCCCAGTGGCCTGGGCGAGGTCCCATAGTTTGGGTAACAAATTTGGCTGATGTCATTGCATGTTACTTTTAGTTACAAAACGGGGGAGGAGTGGAGGAGAAAGTCTGGATGTTGCTAATCCTCCAGTTACTCATCAAACTGAAAGAGCGGAGTGGTGACAAAATAGAGAAGTTCCTAAAAAGTGGAATTATTTAGCAGTGCTGGTTTAGTGATGTGCTTGGTCACTTCATGGTAGAGGCAGGTGATTTAGGAAGTGCTACCTTCTGGGGCTAATGCAGGCAAAGTGAAGGACACATTGCTCACCTTCATTCCAAATATTTTGGTAGCTCTTTTCATCTTTGCCACAAAACAGCTCTTCCTCAAATGTTGGTATGACTGTAGGCTGCTTTGTAACAGAAAGAGGCTTTGTTATTTCTCTCCCTGCAGCAACAAGGACCATTTGCAGAACCAGAGGGTGAGTTTAGATGCAGAACCATCCTAGTCCCTGCCTGCCCCAGCACAGGAGGTGTTTACTCCTGGGCTGCTTCTCACCTCCCAGCTGTTCCGAACGCTTTGTGTTTGGGGCTGGGGTTTGTGCAGAGGAGCTCAGGGTGCCCCACAGCTGGTCTGCAGGGGAGGGTGGTGCAGCCCTGCTGTCCCCTGTGGGACACACATCTGGATGGAGGGATCTAGATGTCCCCCACAGACACGATGGGAAGCTTGGCTGGGCAGGGGGGAGCTGGCTGCCTGGGTTTGGACAGCAGAGGAAAGCACAGGGTGTTCTTTAGCAAGGACTGGAGCACAGCAAGGAGGTGGCACAGGGACAATGCTTGTCAGATGGCAGAATGACTCTGCAGGAAAATAACCAGCCACCTCCAGCCAACCAGAGGAAAAACATTCATAAAAGGAGATCAATGTCTCAGCAAGGAAAGAATAAACAACTTCATGTCTGACTTTGGTGATGGGCAGAGGGGGTTAGATCCTTCTTGCTCTCTCCATCAATCAGGCAGCTGCCCCTGGGCACCACAGGAGGTGAGGAGGAAGCTGAGCTAGTTACATCTCCAGTCAGCTTAGGCTGGTATCACACTTGGATAGAGTGCAGAGCTGAAACCCCTCTGCCAGGGGACTAAAGGACTGCCCACCTGCTGTGTGTAATAACTTGTCACAAAGTTTCCCAGATGCTGAAGTTTGCCCTGCACCATGTTAGGATATAGGGGGGTAAACCAGGCTTACAGGGTTGCATTGAGGCCCAATCCAGAACTATCAAGACAAAGGGAAGGCATCTGGGTGACTTCCTGGGCTGATGTGGCAATACAGACACCTGTGGCCACCAGGCATCACCTTCTTCCTGGGCATGGTGCTCTCTGGTTTCCATGCAGAAGGGCAGTCAGTGGTGTGGTACAGCTGCTGTAGAGCAGAGAGAGGGTCTAACAAGGCAGGTGAGGGCTAGGTGAAGGTGAACAGCCAAATCTCAAGGCTTGATCCTCAGGGTTGCGAGGGCCCTGTGGACCCAGCTGGTCTGCATGGGGTGTGTTCAGTTCCACAGTCAAGTAACTGAAGACAAGAGATGATAATGGAGCAGATAAAGGGCAAAAACCAATGATGTGTTAAAGGCACGGGGCAGCCTGGGTGGCTCACAGCTTAGGAGAGCCCTTGCTAAGCACAGAGTGCAACAGACATGCAGAAATGTGATTAGGTTAATGTGAATAGATAATCCTGAATCTTATGAACCACTGTAGCTAGAAATAACTGCATGGAGCACGAGCCCTGGGGAGCTGTCAGGAGATGTCATCCATTGGAATGATAATTCCCTTGGACCAAGCTGAGCAAACTTAGCATGCTGGAAACTATTTATGAAAGAGGAGGACATGGATCCAGCTTCCTTCAGGTGTCCTGGGCCAGTGAAGCACTGGGACACTGCACCTTCACCTCCAGGGTTAAATGCGGCAGGAAGTTTGCACGGTCTCCTTTAAGTAAGGGATATAAGATTGAATCCTAAAAATATGTTTCTTTTTAAAGTGATTTTTTAATATGAGCTCCCACAGGACTCTGCTCTTCATGTGTCAGAGGCATGGATTAAAATAAGAAAAATGTGGGCCTTAAAAGTTGTACTTGCTCCCAACTGAAACCCATCACTGCACATCCAAATAAGGTGTCTCCTCAGCATATGCTCTGCTTACCAGTGCATTTCTAAAAAAAAAAAGTGTATGATTTGAATATATGTCAGAATTTATACAGAAGAATGTTATTTAAAATGAATAAAAATAAATGTATATAATTTGTATCTATGCCACTTGGATCTTTGCATTTGTTTTTTGTCCATTAAAGTTCAGCCGGAGTCTTGTCCACTGACAGCAAACAGAGCTGGATTGAAACCTGAAAGGATTGGATCTGATCTCATCCCAGTAATGACATTTGTGGCAAAAGAATTATTCCTTCATTATTCTCCTTTATGTGAGATGAGAACCATGGCACAAAAATGTTTTCGACATCAGTTATTCATAAGTACAGTTGACATCCTGTGTCAGATCATCCATCTGAAAAATGAGCCTTGTTGTCTCTTGTGTCTCCTTATTAACCATTCCAGCTTCCAGCTGCTATCACTAACATGTTTGGTAGCTGGACAATGTGTATCTCCCCATTATTGTCTGGAATATTCACATAGATGTATTTTGTCAGAGATGTATGCAGTCATTCAAAATGAAACGTACAGAGCAAAGCCAGAAATTGGCAGAGGATATTGTATCAGATTCTTCTTCATTACTATAATGGCTCTTTCAGAGGAAATCTGGGTTATCAGATACTCTGAGATCCACATCTGAAGCATCAATAGTTTTGAGCAGTTCTGGTAGTGTCTGCAAAAGGATCTATGAAAAATTTGCA